ATGCTGTCATATGCTGTCAGTACTAGAACTGTTATATTCTCTTTTCCATCGCACTGCAAATAAACTGACCAATTAGAGTCACACTTTTGGTCGTGTACCTGTTTGAGGTTTTCACTCCCAAAACTTTGCAGTGCACTCTCAGAAAAAAAGTGTATAAAGCTGTCACTGGGGTGGTACCTTTTCAAAAGGTATAAATATGTATCATTTAGGTATTAATGAGCACCTATAAGGTGCTTATATGCATCATTTAGGGGTAAACAAGGTACAATTGTGTACCTTTTTAAAAGGGTGCAGTCCCAGTGACAGCTTATGTACTTTTTTTCTGGAAGCATGTGTACACGGCCAGTAAGAGGTTTGCAAGAAAGAATGAACACATCGAGCATATTAGCAAACTCATTTTCGAGTTTAATTGATGTGTAAATGTTAGTGGATGTCAGAAGAAAAGAGAGTTTGCCTAGGGCACTAGTTCATCATGTGGGCATGGAGTAGCGGAGTGCGAAAGGTTGGGGCTGAAAGCACAGGAGACAAACAAGGGTCAAGAGTATGGAAAAATGATATGAATACCTTTAAAACATCTCTCTTCATAACCACTGCATTAATGACTGAGAGGGTAACGGGTTGTCTCACGCAGTAACTACCAGCCAAGGTCAGCGCATTGCCTTGGGTGAGCACCTGTGCTGTAGAAGTGGTTGTGGAGATGTGAGGAGAAAAAATAGTTCATCTAAGGTTTGGCAACAAGGACAGTCAGACGAGAACTTCAGAGAGAAAAAGCTGAAATGTCAGAGCGACAGCACTCTAAATAGACTGAGAATGAGGTAAAGAGAGAAGATAATGACTGCTCTCCATCTAGAGTTTCTTGTCATTTTGCTCTCAGCAAGAGTCAGAAAATGTAGCAAGGTTTTTTTTTTGTTGTTGTTTCTCTCATTTCCTCATTCTGCAACAATCTACTCTTTGGAGATGCATGACTCCTATACCAATGCTTTTTATCCGTTTTAAAAGAGATCACAGGGTTGCACCTCATCAGACAATATAAACACTTCTTGGTGGTGCAGAGCACCCACTCCTGGTCACACATAAAACTGAAACCTCATGCATTATTAAATCACAAATGAAAACCAAATAGTTCTCTTACAATGTTTATAAAAAATAAAAAAAAACATGTAACTCCTAAACAAGTATGTAATAAGTATTGAAATTTGAAAAAATTGCACATATTGTTTTACTAAGAATATAATAATATTGTCCAGTGACCATACAGAGGATAAGCAGTTTGTAGAATGGATGGATAATATTGTTCTTTCAAAATATTGAAAGCATTGCTTTACTTAAAAAAAAAAAAAAAAAAAAAAAAAAAAAACATCTTGGATGGTCTGAGTGCGAGGACATTTTCTGCAAATTTTCATTTATGGGTGACCTATTCCTTTAACGTCACATTGGTAAGATACGTATGCAACCAATGGTCCAAATGAACCGTGTGAAAAACATTTAGAAATTCAATACCGCTAATTTTCCTCTACTATCTGATTGACAAACTGTAGACCCCTCCCACATAAACAACAGTTTGATTGACAGACTGACACCACCCTTGCACATGATAATGGCCTTGTACCTCGCCACCCCCAGTCTTTCTGGCAGATATTAAGGTGACTTTGATTGTGTTGATTAATTGACAGGCTTCCTAGTCTCTCTCCCACAAGCTGCCATTTAATTAACGGCAGATTTGTCTCCCAGTAAGTTATCAAAACTGGTTGTTATGAGAAAAATGCAGTGGATATTGTATTAGGACTGACATGTTTCTATTAGGGACTGTCTTTCTACTGCTATTTCTGTGAATGTACATTAATCAGTTGGCCTTTAAGGTGAACGCCGACAATTTGCATGATTTGACACGTTCACCTTGTCATGTTCAAATGATTGCTATTAATATACTTTCTGTATGAGGAATTTGAAACGGTTTGTACAGACAAACAGAATAAATCAACTGCAATGTCTCCAACGTAGGTCATAATTAACCTAAAGTCAAAATAAAGAAGAATTAAAGCTTATTTTTAAGTCCAATTCAATATTTTTGCATTGTGACATTAAGTAGTTCTACATCAAAACTCCCACAACTGTTGCCTACTATAAAGCAAAAAAAATAAAAATATTGTGAAGTACATTTTTTTAAGTACAACTGTAGGTATATATTGTGGTATTATGTGATGTAACTCAATAATAAATAAATAAAATATAAGTAAATATTGTATGACAGGGTGCACCAAGTATATTAATCAATCATATTAATAATTTGAAAAATATTTGACGGTGTAAGGATTATTAGGAACTGATTCTCACCGACAGCATATGCAGCCACGAGGAACCCAGCAGATCCTGCAAGAACCTGGAAATCCTGCGATCTGGTTTTCTGCACAAGCAGAGATATTCTGGTGATCTGTCAGTTATCAAATATTAAAGTGTTTTAAGGTGATAGAAGAGAGTGAAAAAAGAGACAGAAATATGAGATTGTGAAAAAAAAAAAAACCCTATTATTATGCATTTTTTACACCTAATTTTGGTGTGGTTACAGGAGAAGACAATTCAGAATGGCACAAAACCTTTAACTTCGAATACAGAGATTACTTTTGAACTTTTCCATGGAAAATAAACACGTGACGGAGAGAGAAAGAGAGAGTACAATTTTCCCTTCAATTTTGTTTCAGCTCACTTGTATGTCTGAGAGTATTTCAAATGAAAAGCACCTCATGGAGAAAAACTGAGTACTTTAAAGGAGACATATTATGCCCCTTTTTACAATATGTAATATAAGCTCTGGTATCCCCAGAATGTGTCTGTGAAGTTTCAGCTCAAAATACTCCACAGATCATTTATTACATCATTTAGAAAATGCCTATTTTGAGTGGACTACGTCACCAAGGGAGCACAAGCAGAGCTATTCTGGTGAAGATTTTCATGATATGTCACCTTTCAAAAATTATTAATTACTTTCAAAGGAGATCAGCAGAATTCAAACTGTCAAATGTCAATATAGCAGAATAAAATTTTAAAAAATGGCAGAACGACTTAATACATTCATGAAACAATGAATGATACAAAAAAAAATGTTTTCAACTAATCTTGTATACACCTAATATACCATGGGTATAGAAAAGAATCACCCCCCTTCAGTGTTGGGGAAAGTTACTTTTAAAAGTAATGCATTACAATATTGCATTACTCCATAAAAAAGTAACTAATTACGTTACTTAGTTACTTTTTATGGAAAGTAATGCGTTACGTTACTTTTGCGTTACTTTTTAAATCTGGACAGGGCTTGCTTGTTTGTTTTTAAAATAAAATTATTGCATGTTTTTGGCAAATATAAAAGCCTTTTCACACCAAAAGTGAAATGAATAAGCCTCACGCTGAAGGGAAAGTAAATTTACGTCCGTACAGTAGAATGCAGAAGAAGACATTTCAGCACACTTCAGCAATACAAAAGACACAAATGTTTGTCTAGAGTAATTTTTGCTTATTAGTACGGTTGAACTGGATCATCGAAGGTCAGAAGCAAAGACATTGGTTAATAGAATGGGATTAAATACATAAAGGATATTTGTGTTGTTTAACATTTAATTATTGCAGGTTTGCGTCATATTCTGAGTTGCATTATTTTTATTCATTTTGAGGAATACTGAATCTGTGTTTTTGTGAGTGAGATGAATTAATGCATATTCATATTTATTTTAGAGCTACAGTAACATCTTCTGATTTCTCTTAACATGGGGACAGGAGAGCTGTCAATTAATAAGTAATGCGTTACTTTACTAGTTACTTGAAAAAAGTAATCTGATTACGTAACTCGCGTTACTTGTAATGCGTTACCCCCAACACTGTTCCTGATGTTTCTTGGAAACCTTCTTGAAACGTTCTCCATAAGGGAATTGACTTTGAACGACGTACTTATAAGCTTGTAAAGACAGATGTACCATGAGCTTCGAGGTTGTTTATGAATGATATACACTTAAGTTGAAGCAGTTAGTCCACGCTCTTTGATTTTTAAACAATGTTTAACAGCGCGATTACTGGTGAAGAAGTACATTACCCATAATCCTACAGAGAAATATCGACCAATCAGAGAATCGAAGCTCTGCAGTGCTCCGCCCACTCTAAAAGCACCGCTTGTACTTGTATATTTTATAAATCTGATTATTTTACCAACATAATATGGTTATTTTGTTTATATATTACTTTAAAAAACTGTAAGCCAGTAGTTTTACGTTTTCGACCGTATTTTATTAAGTTGTTCACAATGCTTTATGGGATTGTAGTTAATTCCATCTATGTGTTGTCTTTTGCATTTTTCTTTTTGTCTGATTTTCAAATACTTTTTGCTTCTAATATAAGTTTGTGATGATGTGATTCACTGTCATGGCAGGCTTATAACTCTAATGAGCACTTTATAGGAACAATACTTCTCAAACCAACGCTGAAAAAGTGGGCCAGCACTGTTGTACTCTAGGCTAAACGTTTCATTAATTCATAAGCATTAGTATTCATGAATTAAGATGCTCCATAGTGGTTGTATATCAACTGCATGTGTTTCAGTTCCAAACAGGTCACAATTAATCAGCCTCACAAAATACGGATGAAGCAGCCGCTGTCAAGGTCTTTTTGCTTGTTTTCTTTGACAAAATATTAATAACTGATCATTTTGTAGTCAAGATAAAAGTTTTAAGTCAATTTGTGTTTTTGTACACACTGTGCTTGAATTACAAATCTGTAAATTTCTTCTTCTTGACTCATGTAAACCTTTCCACCTTTCTGACATTAGACTTTTGCTTCTGATTGTATGGTTACTCACTTACTGTATATAAACTGTGGCTTTGACACGTATTCATAAATCAAACATTCACCAATTTTGCAAGCTAACTCCTATGTTGTGTCTATGAGATTGCTTTATATACAGCAGGTCTGAAGGCCAGACCATCATAGCTGTCACGGAAATGCAGTAGACCCATAGATTCACATCAATACTCTCTTTATTTCCTTAGTTTTTCATGTAGAACAGCTTCAAAAATCTACACACGATGACATAAAACACCAACAGAACGTCTATCACATTTATAAATAAAACAAATAATTTTATCAAGTAAACATGGATACAGTGTCACATGCAAGCGAGGACAACATAATAAAAATAGACTAACATGTGCCTTAATGCAAAACAAACGCGTTTACTCAACTCTCAGACATCCAAAGCACAAACTGATTTCCTTATAATTATTTAAACATCACAAGAATATCACTATTACATTTCTTTGTACATGTATATCATTTCCAAATGTTCTATTCCTTGTTACAAAGTAACACGTTCACGTTTAAACAAAAGTTAAATTGTTCTTTTTGTAATTGAAGAAGTCGTTAAACTACGGATATTGTTCCCTTGGAGTCGATCCTTAACTATTTTGTGGGTTTTATTGATTATAATAGTGACCTTAAGAAATGGGATTCAGAGTCTTCCAGATGACACCTGCAAGACACGAGAATGCATCAGAAACATCTCAGTGATTATTGTATGCTCATAAATCCAGTTATCAACTAATAAGCTGATATGAACACAGGTTTACCTCCATCTACTCCCAGAAGTACCGCAGATACCATATGGTCTCATTTTTAAGCTGAGGTCCAAATAGAGGGTTTGTTTGGGCCAGTATTGCTACTAACCAGCTGCAGTGGATATGAATAGAGTAGTGAATATTCAAAATAACAAAATAAACTGCTTGCTATTTCATACATTTAAGCATCAACAGACAAATCACAGCGAAATGCACTGTGAACACTGTTACAGCAAATTTGTTAAGGAGATATCCTACATTATCATGCATGGAGGTTTATTTTTTTTATTACAGCTACTCAAAATATTAATAACTCAATTGAGTATTTTACGACGTAAGGATATATTTGACAGTATCTTCCTCATGCATGGAGGTTTATTTTTTTTATTACAGCTACTCAAAATATTAATAACTAAATTGAGTATTTTACGACGTAAGGATATATTTGACAGTATCTTCCCAAGTATGCAATTATACTCACAATAAATAGCAGCAAACTGCGGTCAGCACCAAACTGGTTATGATGACACTGTAATTAAACAGTTAAATCAAAAATCAACGCTGATGCAACACAGAATAACATTGCAATAACATTTGAATGACACAGGCTATAGTGCACAAGGAATGCGTTTAAAGATGGATGATCGCTCGGCCTTTATTCCAGCATCAGTCCTCACCCTCTGTTTGGTCCTTTCGGTACAAAAAACGGGGCGACAACCCCGACCAGACCCCACAGCGTGGTGAAACAGATCATCGGTAAAGCCAGCGAGTGCGACACCATTGCGACACTTCTGCGTTATTCTGTAATTATAATATAAAGATATCAGCGTCCGATTCAATAGCGCCCGATCTCTCGCTAATCCTTCGCTCACGCCCACCTGCTCCTGATTGGACCGCTGCTATTCTGAGTCTGATCGCTATTGGTCGACAGAGGTGTCACTCAAACTGAATCCCTGCTCGTTACGTTGACATAACAGTAGACCCACGTGTCACTCAAAATACTAAACCACCCGTCCCAAAAGTCTTCTTGTGTGTAATGTGTCTGAATTTGCACTGAAATATCCTGTATTTTATGCTGAAGTATTAAATTGAATTAAAGAATTGGACACCGTGTTTGTATTGGTTTATGTAGGCTATTTTACTTTCAATCTTGATATAGATGTCTAAAAAAATCAGTATGAATTCAAAACATCTTCAGGTCATCAATCATCAGTTCATATTTAAACAATGGGTTATATCTAGAGAAAACTTATTTCGTAAGTATTGCTACATATCTAGGTCTGCTGCAGTAATGTTAACGCTGTTTGTTTTCAAGCTTTTATAAACAGAAACTAGGAGGTGTTAACAGATTACTGTGATTATATATAGGCTATATATATATATATATATATATATATATATATATTCCAGGATGTTGGTCTTCAATATAACCAACAATTGTTGAGAGGATTATTATGATTAATATCTTTGTAAGTGAATTTATCCTGTTTTATTTTACATTTTTTATTAATTTATCTTTTTTTATATATTTGTTAAGTTATTTTAATGTAACTTTTTTATGTTATTTTAATATAACTTCACTGAAATAATTTTAAGTGCTGCTATATAGTGAGCAGCATGTGTGGATGACTGCAGCCATCTACTGGACAGTTGATGAAAATGTTTCGGGGAGTCAAACTCCGACCCTGCTCCAACACGCATACCATGCAGTTTTCAAATAAGCCTGAAGGATTTGATTAGCTGGATCAGGTGTATTTAATTAGGGTTGAACCTACACTCTGCAGGGCTCTGGCACTAGAATGAAATAAACGTGCGGTTATGTTAAATTTGGAAAGCAATGCACACATTAAGTGTTAACTACCTTAGGTAATTTTCCTGCCCCTCATTAAATATGTGTTACTGGAGAGCCAAAAAAAAAAAAATTACCATCAAGTCATATGAAATTACCTGCTGAGCGAGTGTCCGTTGCAGCAATTCACTTTAGGACTTCTACTACTTCTACTTCTACTTCAACTCACATTGCTCAAGAAGAGCAGGGACCACAGTCAGAAGCTTGCAATTTACAGCCTTATAACATCTTTTTTCTTATTAATAATAAATGATTTTCCAAAAATCATATTAGTTCCACAGTCACAAAAAGTGGGGACAATTAAGACCGTCGACAACATGATTATTTGTATCATGAGTATGTCTGACTAAACATTTCACACTTTCACCTTGTTTACACCCTCTCCAAAATGACTAAATGTGCCCCCACAGAAGACAACAGTGACAGACGGTTTTAGGAATTTCTATCTTTATCTCTAAGATGTTGTGTTATTCTTTAGAATAAATCCTCACATAAATCACAACTTGTTTTCTCAGTATACAGCGCTATTTGTGTTTTATATATGTCCACATTACTTGCATTAACAGGATAATGAACAGTCATATTATTTGATAGATTTAACTGTGTAGTAGTGTGTAATAAATGAACAAATAAATAAATAAAAATGCATTTTATTTTTCTTCCAGCCAAATAGTCCTCCGAATTCACTTAGCAAATTAATACCCAGACTTAATGAAATAATGTACTGGTTTTGTTTAACCGTGGTAAATAACTACTATTTTAACTTTGCAAATTGAGTAATTATCCAGATTATGCATTTTTTTCTCAAGAATGTTTAATATCAAGAATCACATGCATTTGTATGAACACCATATACAGTAAAGCTGTCGAGTCAGAGGACAATCCAGGGTCAGCATGACAATAATACAGCTGATTCATTAAGCAGCTGTGCATTCCTGTTTCTCTGAGATGAGATCTTCCCCCCCACCCAAATTATATATATATATCATTCTTTTCAGACACCAGTTGCTTGTCACATTCAAATTGGTTGTCATAGTAACGACACTAATTTGTGGAGATTCAGTGCAGGCAGCTCCACAATTCTGAATGCATTATTTGTAAATTGACTGTTAAGATAAACATTTTGCACAATTTAGTATCTGTAATATCATTGTGTTGCCACTAGATGCCTGTATAGCCCTATGTAACAATCCCTAGTGGCTAAGACATTGCACATAATTTACACATAAATCACACATAAATTAATTTTATTACATTTTGATTTGGATACTATATACTATACTACTACATATTGTTTAGATATTATCAATGGCTACTTTTTTGTCTTTATCTGTTTTTTTGTTAAATTTTTTTGTTGTTGTTTCTTGAAACATTGATTTAAAGTGTCAGTTATTGCATTATTATTTCAGTCAAACCTATAAAACCCCTTTGTTACCCCAAACTACATATAAAAGCTTTATCCAGTACGTGCGCTCATTGGCACCCCTTCAGCTGGTGACGCCCTAGGCGACCGCCTAGCTCGACTATGCCTAGAAACGGCCCTGATATCAACTATGCATTCCTTTAGTTTTGCAAATTGGTATTTTTTATGAAGACGTGAAGAAATATAGATCGCTAACTCAGTTAGCTGGATTTGATTGTTGACGATTTGGCATGATCTTGGATTGTTTGGTTCTTCGAAGCTCATCCCGGAGTTGCTGTCATAGCAACAGGTCCGTAAGCTTAAACCTGCTCGGGAGCAGCTTATTTCATGTAAACACGATTAGATTGCATATGTTTAAGCAGAATTGATACTTAAAATATGTCCTCTACCACCGCTACTTTATTACAAGAGTACCCTACTAATCCAGGGACAATAATTTAAAAATAAATGTAAAGATAATTTAATAATGTTGTGTAGTCTTTAATACTACAGACACAGCCAATTTTACTCACTGAAAGATTTATTCTTCATAAAATTATTACTTGACAAAAAATTGTCAAAAAATAGACAAAAAAACCCCACAAATTTTTTGGACTTTTATAAGGAAACAGCCAAGCGTTTTTATTTTATTTAAATTTTTAACATGATAGTGTCTAACGCAGCGCTAAGATCCAGTAGCACTAATAGAGAGAGCAGGTCATTTGTAACTCTGGTAGAGCAGTCTCAGTACTATGATACGGTCTAAATCCAGACTGGAAATCCTCACAGATACCATTTCTCTCTAAGAAAGAACATAGCTGAGAGGATACTGCCTTTTCTAGTATTTTTATTAGAGTATAGTATTTTTGATTTGAGATCAGTCTGTATTTAACTAATTCTCTAGGATCAAGTTGTGTTTTTTTTTAATGAGAGGCTTAATAACAGCCAGTTTGAAGGTATTTGGGACATATGCTAATGATAATGACGAATTAATATTATTCAGAAGGGGATCTATGACTTCTGGAAGCACCTCTTTTAGTAGCTTAGATGGTGGGTCTAACATACATGTTGTTGGTTTAGATGATTTAAACGATTTATACAATTCTTCCTCTCCTATAGCAGAGAACGAGTGGAGTTGTTCCTCAGGGGATCTATAGTGCACTATCTGAGAGGGTGGATTCATTAATATTGGAATCATAATCATTACATTTATTTCAATGCTCGTCCCTGGCCTTGGTGTATGAATATTAAACTGTGTTCACAGGTACAAATATATCAGAGTCAGACTCAGCAGAATCAGTGTCAGAAGCCTCATAGAATAGAAATAGGTTAATGTAAGATCATAGTTGTGGTTTGGTTTGTTCTATTTCAGCTCCACCACATTAACCAGTGAGGGAGGAGCCGTAGTTGTTCACTTTATTGTCATGTAAATACATAAATACAGCCAATACCACCATTTCAAAAGAGAAATCAAAATATTGTTCCATTTCTCTTGTTCATCGAACACACTGGAATACAACTTTTCATATTAGCAAATAAATACTTGCATGTTAGTCAGTGTGACATTTTGTAAAAACATGTTACAAGATTATCAACATTATCAAAAGATCGTCTGTATCACATGAGGTATATTTGTATGTCTTTAATCTGTCATGACGTTCCTAATGATCTGACCGCAGGTTTCAGGAAGTCTCGAGGCTTTAACACAGTCTGTGTCTTTAACCGTCTGTCATCATTCAGCAGTATGGAGCTCAGTCAACTTCCTCTTGTGCTCTGTGAGTATTATTTTCTCTTAATGTATTTCAGTGGAATTGCTATTATATTATATAAATGATCAAGTCTTTTAGTGTTCCTAGATTTGTCTTTTCTTGCTGCTTTCAGAGTTTCAAATCCAGCTCTAGTCCATGATATATGAGTGAAGGATGAGTCTGAGAGAGGAAGTGTGCAGTTAGTGCTGTTTGTGAAAGAGAAATGCACTCTGTTGTGTTGTAGATCAGTGTTTGGTCAGTATTCAGTTTTGTGTGGTGTAAAGGTGTTGAATCAGTTCTGTTGGTTTGTTTCGCAGTTATTGTAATATTCACTAGTACACAGTTAGTAAGAGTTTGTCTTTATTCTTCAGCTCGTGATCAGACTGTTAGCTTGAAGTTCCCTAAACAGTTCTCTGCTATGACCAAATCTATAACATACCAGTCAGATGATTTCATGTTTATCTAGACACATATACAGACCCCCTTAATCTTTATCATTATCAGCTCAGTGTTCACATTGTAATGAGGTTTCTCTTTGTGTTTTTAGTGCTGATTTCAAACGTCTACTCTCAACATACTGAAGGTGAGTCAATTTGATTCATATATTTCATTACATGACTGATTCTACAGCAGAGGCGGACAAAGTACACAACTCCATTACTTGAGTGAAAGTACAGATACTGCTGGTCAAATATTTCTCCATTACAAGTAAAAGTTGTAAAGACAGATTTTACTTAAGTAAAAGTACAGAAGTACTTGCTTTTAAAAGTACTTAAGTACCAAAACTTTTTTATGTCAATGCACTGTTTTATTGTTGTGCATAGTACTTGCAATACTTCTGAAGCAACTTAGAATACATTACACCTACTGAATACAGTACAGTGAAATCCTGTAAGTACAGAGTAAGGAAGAAAAAAAATCAAACCTGCTTTAGTAAAGTACAGATACTCAAAAAGTGTACTTAAGTAAAATACTCAAGTAAATGTACTTAGTTACTGTCCGCCTCTGTTCTACAGTAACTGTTACAAACCAACAGAGTTGAGTTACATTTTATCACTTTAAATGCACCCTTTTAACAAGTTGAATTATTCATGTGACAACTCTGAGGTGTGACAGGAAACACAAAAATCATCAAAAACAGCAGATATGTTTCTTACATTCTCTGTGAAATCAAAATCAAACCAGTGAGAGCCAAGATCTTCTGTTGGAAAACTTGTTGAAAAACTTTCACAACTCATGATTCCAAATTCCCAATGATTGTATATTGACAGATCATTTATAAATGACTATAACAGCTTTAGAGAACAACACTTGAGTCTCATCTGATTTAGCACGTGTGTGTTTTAGACTCAAGTAACTGTTCATACAGTAGTACATTATTTTTATTGTGAATTGTTGCTGTTCTACAGAAAGACCAAAACCCAAAGTGACCATCAAACCTGATGAACATGTATTCAGAGGAGAGACAGTCACTCTCAGATGTGACATATATAGTGAAGGAGTCACTAGCTGGCAGTACATCTGGTATAAAGATGGTTCATTCTACACTTTCAGTGAACTACAGGAACTCACATTCAGTCCTGTTACTGAGTTTGATGCAGGTAAATACTCCTGTTATAGATCAGAGAGAGGAGTATCAAGCAGCTCATATATCAGTGATGAAGTTACACTGACAGTATCAGGTGAGTTTGATCTCCTCTTCACACACACACTAGTGTTATTTTCGTTAACGAAGACTATGACGAAAAATGTTAGTTGACAAGCTTTTTTCCCATGACTAAGACAAGAGGAAGACGAGACGACAATAAGGTCAATAAACGATAACCAAGACTATATCAACATGCAATTTCGTTGACGAAATAAGACAAGACTAAAATGTATTCAAAAAGATAAAAACTTTACCAAAAACCTCTTTTTATTTTCGTCAAAAAAAAGGAGACAAAATGTTATTGCAGACTGATCTACACGCCTCTACTACGCGAGCTTTCGTGAGTGCGGTTGCCAGATATCAAGAGTTCTAATCCCCGAATCAGAGCTTCGCTGTTAAATTAATACATTTTCTGCCCGGTGTGTTTTGTTTATTTTAAGCAATCTGGCAACCATGTGCACGCGCTCGCTCCTCAGTGCGGTGCAGAAGCGCCGCCGCTGATGATCTGAAAACTTACTCGGTTACTAACGTAACCTCGGTTCCCTGAGATACGGGAATGAGTACTGCGTCTTGCTTAAGACGCATATGGGGAAAAGCCTTTTTTCTCCTGAACTGAAGCCTATTTCATTCACGCAGTGAAACTGCATGGCCATTGGTTCGTGCAGGGCTT